TTTTTTAGTATCATCGAGATACTATTATTGTTTTTATGGATATTTTGAATTAATTTAATTTTTTTTATTTAATTTTTTTTATATTTTTAGTAGGGTTTTTTTATGTGTGCATTTAATTTTTTATACATTTTTTTAGTTAATTTATCACATCAAATTAAATTACAAACTAAACTTAATTAGAATGAGAAATGTTGAAATACATTTTTTTTATGATTTTAGTTTTAGTTTCAGTTTTAATTAACTATAATGAGCCTTTTACTGTATATGTACTTAACTATTCTTATTTATTTTATTTAATTTATTTTAAAACAAAATAATAAAATAAAACAAAAAGTAAATTAAAAATAAATAAATAATATATATCATATATATATCAACACATGTCCAGTATTCAAACAATGGTCCCACACAGGTCACTAAGGTTAGCCAATCACAATAAAGGTCACTTACTGTACGTAAATAAGTCTGAAAGGTACAGTATCAAAACACAGCCTTTTCAATGCTAAATGGTCAGGATAAACTAAATTATGATGTTTTGGATGCAAGAAACCTTGACTAATGTTATATATGGACTTTAATTGTGTGAAATTTGGCTCCTTTAACTAAAGCAGTTTACCAATTCAGTGCCCCTACTCTCACCGCTGAGAGAATTAATTCACCCATTATGGGGAAACATAATAATCTGTCACTGGCTCAAAACACAGTATTCACAGGGTAAATTTGAGCAGTTTGACCCACAGCTGCACAGCCTCGGGCGCTTGTAGCCGTCATAATCCACTTGAAAAATAGACTGAAAATATGTGAGAGAGGACAACAGATCTGCCGTAAGGGGTTCATCTGCTCTTCATACAGCCGAGCAAATGAATGCCGGGAGAGAGAGAGAATGGGATTGGAGAGATGTGATAGAGAGGGCTAATGAGGCTGTCTGGGTCTCTGGAGAGAGCTGGACAGAGCAGAGGCTGTATGTGACAGCTTAAGACCTGTAATTACAGGCTGAGAGGCGGAGAGGGGCGCTGGATTAAAACCTCATAAACAGCATCAGGGGGCCAGCCCAGTCTGGAAATGTGTGTGTGTGTGTGTGTGTGTGTGTTAGAGAAAGGATTAGAATGACTATATGATGCTGCTATATAGACAAGGAGAACCTCCTGGATATATGGATGGATATGTAAAATTATGGTGTATAGGTAGAATGATAGAAGGATGGAAGGATTGGTAAAAGGATGGATGGATGGGTAGAATGATGATAGTTATATGGATGGAAGGATAGAAAAATTTATGAAAGGATGGATGTATGGATGGATGGATGGGTAGAATGATGGATAGTTATATGGATGGAAGGATAGAAAAATTGATGAAAGGATGGATGGATAGGTAGAATGATGGATGGATAGGAAGAACAATGGATAGTCATATGGTTAGAATGATGGATGGATGGATAGATGGATGGATAGTTATATGGATGGATGGATGGATGGATGGAAGGATAGATAAATTGATGGACGGATGGATGGGCGAATGGATGGATGGATAGATAGGTAGAATGATGGATATGTAAAATGATGGGTGTATAGGTAGAATGATGGAAGGATAGATAAAATGATGAATGGATGGACAGACAGATGTACGGGTGGATGGATAGATGGATAGATTAATAGGTACAATGATAGGTGGTTTGATGGATGGATAGGTAGAATGACAAATTCGGGACAAACTAGCCTGCAGACTGCAAATCACAGCCTCTCCGGAAGACAGACTAGAAGAGGGTGTTTTAATCCACAGCTAATCCTGTTTGAGAAAGCACTAGATTAGGGGAGATTACAGCTGGAGATGGCAGAATAAACGGGTTCGTAATAACTGTTCACCTCCATTCCCTCCCAAACACTGTGCCGCTAAAGATCTGTCTCCCACAAGCAGATCGGTTCAACCAATCTCCCTCTATTTTCTTTAAGAAAAACTTCCCCATCTTCCCCATTTGATCTTCCTCTCATTCTGTCACGACCATCAGACTTTAACAAAGGTTCATAAAACAAATCCTGGTTTTGTAATGAAAAGCTCATTGAGGAGAGTCAGGCTGAGCGGTTTATTGTCAGGCTGCCCGTGGCACTTGCGTCGGATGAAGTTGTAATTGCGTTGACCCCTTCTATGCGTCAGTATGCGTGCTGTTTTATCAGGCCCAGCGAGATAAGTCAGCAGCTCTAGACTTCATTAAACAACTCATCTATATTAAACAGTCTGGTAGTTTCCCTCCCGAATACAGCATTTGTTGTCCCCAATGCAGCGCCACAGACCACCTGAGCGGAGTAAGATGTGTCTTGTGTGATGGGCATCCTGCTGTCCAGGATGAATCGAGATTCTCAAAATTGTTTTTGGTTGCTATTGATCAGAAGACATCAGTCTAATTCCTCCATAGGCCTCCTCTAGTATGTCTGGGAAAGTCACACAGAGAGGATCCGAGCGCACTCTACTTACAGTACCTGATCGTTACTGTAACTGATCTTAGCCAATCAGAGCATGGTGATCATCTCACCCAGAGGCCTTGGTTTTCCAGCAACTTTGTCTCCACTCAAGTTGACTCTTAGACACTGGTATTTTCTTGGAGTTAGAACTGTCTATGTTTTTGACAGATACAATAGTAATCCCTATTATTATTACTCACAATTTGGTTAGAGATTCAGACAAACCCCTACCCTACACGCATTTAACCTTGGTGCATAATGCATCCAGTATCATTTGTGCCAAAAACATCAATGATACCCCAAATTGTGCAGCTACATTCCTAAGCTATCAGACGTATAATGTTTGCATACTATAAATCAAGTAAAAAATCTAATAGACCTAAAATGAAAGAGGGACCTGAGTCATACCTAGATATTAGAATATCAAAGGAGGGTTGGTTGTGGGCTCAGTAAGAAAACACTTAGCAACTATCGAGAACACCCTATGGTTGGAAAGATAGTATGATGGATGGATGGATGGATGGATAGATAGACAGACAGACAGACAGACAGACAGACAGACAGACAGACATGGATGGATGGATGGATGATAGACGGATGGACGGACGGACGGAGAGACAGACAGACAGATAGATAGATAGATAGATATGGATGGATGGATGGATGGATAGATAGACAGACAGACAGACAGACAGTAGGGATGCCACAATCCTAAATATAATATTGAACCTTTCAGTACGTCATCCACGGTTCAATACGGGCTTGTGAATTGCGGTTTTTCGTTTTTGCGTTTGATGAATAGATAGATGGATAGGTAGAATGATGGATGGTTGGATGGATGGATGGATGGATGGATGGATGGACAGATGGATATGTAGAATTATGGATGAATTGGGCAAGAAAGAAAATGCTTGGCAACTATCGAGAACACTGAGGCACGTAAAATACCTTGCTAGGTTGTGCACATTCCCATTGGTCCTTTAAGGCTTGTCGCCATTGCTCCGAGAGCTTGGATCTTGGTCTTCCTCGTTGCCAGAGTCCAGGAGGTGAGAATGGGTGAGGGATTATTGCAGCCACTCATTCTCAACACAGCCTCCTTCAGGAGAAGTTCCTTTGGGAGAAAGTGCAGCCTTGCACTTTCACACGCAATGTGGGCCCATGGGGGAAGTATATAAAGCTAAGGACATGAGAGCTCACAAAAGACCACACTCACCAACAGCCTAACAGGGGGGGGGTTAGAAACTTACTCTTTGTTCTGTGTTTTTTAAAATTGTTTTAGGCATGCATCTGACAACATTGTGGGATAATTGTGCTTAAAGCAAGAAAAACTATTTCGTATGTATGCAAGAAAAATAAAGCAGCCGAAAGATTAAAAATAAGCCTGTATGAAAAAAAAAAATGTCTTTTTCTTCCCAGGAGGCTCCAGGTAGCCCGCCTGTGCCTCTGAATTCTCCACGAGATGAACATGAGCGACGGATCTCTCAGTCGCTGTATCCCGGAGAGAGCCTGGATGACAACCACACCCCACGACCCACCATGATGGGTAGAATGATGGGTAAGCTGATAAAAAACACTCAAATATTAGTCTTAGCCTCAGATGGCCCTGGTGTATCATTTCACACAAAAATGACCAGAGCGTTCTCAAACCAGCTAACTCCGATCTAAACAGCTGACTTTACTCGTGTTCTGGAGTTTGTAAATGGCTTTTATCAGTCTGCTGGTAGTTTCCAGGTTGCTCCAAGAAGATCTAATTGATTTGCCAAAGATTGTGATGTTTATGGCATTTAATCTTTGAACAATTTTAAAGGGATCACTCATCCAAAAATAAATATTGTGTCATCATTTACTCACCCTCAAGTTGTTCCAAACCAAAGAAAGTTTCTTTCTTCTGTTGAACACAAAATGATATATGTTGAAGAATGCAGGTAAGCAAACAGTTATTGGTCTCCATTGACTTCCATAGTATGGGGAAAACACAATTTTCATTTTTGGTTGAACTATCACTTTTAAGAGTTTAGTTTGAGACACTTTAAGGCCGTGTGTCCACCAAAGTGTTTTTAGCCAGATGAAAATGCCAGGTGCTTTTTTGAAAATGCCCAGCTGTGGGCGCTTGAGATTGCTTCGGAGGCGCAGCGTTTAGCTAGACCTAACCAAATGTTCCCCCAAGCCATATTTGTTTATTTTAATATTGTTATAGTCTGGAGATGTCATATGGTACAGACATGGATACTCGGAGACCAGCAATATTTTGGCTTTCTCCATTGTTGTTCAGTCGTTCTACTCCAGTAGAATGTGACGGTTGGCGATATTTGCCCCGCCCTCCTTCACTGTGATTGGACGACTGGCACTGATGAGCACTGCCTTTTACCCAAAGTTAAGCATTTTCTCTTTGCGACCAGAAAAAAACGCAAAGTGAACCGCTTCGTCACGCTGTCAGCTTATTTAAATATGCTGTGCTCCCTTTGAAAACAATTAAAAAGTATGCTAGCCTCAAGGAGGAAAAATATATTTTGGTGGACACACAGCCTCAAACAATTGAACCAGATGTCCTTGAGCTCACCTGATTGCTCAAAGGGTTATATCTGGTTTATGAATATATGTCATTAAAAGGAAACGGGTCAGTTCACATGCCATTTGAAGGTTTCTTCCTGTCTATGTGGACGGTTCTTGGTCAAATGCCTGCATTGTAATAGTCATTTTTATGCTCTGCAAGACTATGTGTGCACATGCTGTCAGTATACTGTATGTCCTGACCTTCTGTTTCCATTTCCACCTGTTTCCCCTGACATATATGGTTTAAATGCAGGGATGAATGAGCAGCTGGACACACGCAGGCTCAGCCCAGCCAGTCCCAGCATGCTCCTGTGGTTTTGTAAATGGGGGTTAATGTCATTTTCAAGCCCCGTGTCTCATCCAGCATGACTCTTTCAAGTCAAGTCCTGATTTCTCTCAAACTCAGCTCCAGTTCTAGTCCTGCCAGACAATTGGAATCGGCAGACCAATCCTTTCACCGTCATGCTTGTCATTTCACAATTGACTACTCAGTCTTGAACAATAAGCTCTTTAGTACCTGACGCAAACCCTCTTCTTCCTCCTCCTCATCCCCCTGCTTTTCCTTCAGCCCTCGTTTTCTTCATCCTCCTGTTCTGACCTTCTCTGCTGCGTGTGTTCTCATCGCAGTGTGACGATGAGTGAGTCAATGACGTCTCAGTCTCCTCAGATTTAGTGTCAAAGGCGACTGATGGCCAATTGCACTTGCTAAGCCTTGTTTTTTTTCTTCTTCTTCTTCATTTTGGCCCTATTTTGTCACTTTCTTTGACAGTATGGACAGGAAATAATGGGGAGTGGTTTGATTAAATTTTAAATTATTGTTATTGTTATTACTACTACTACTACTGCTACTACTACCACTTATCACTTAATAAATATTACTTATTGTTTTATGTGGAGCCTGGAATAAGCATATTATAGTGGAACATGGAAAAAGCATGTAGGTTTTTTTTTTTGTAAATAATTTTTATTTGTTATTATGGTATAATAATAATAATAATAATAATAATAATAATAATAATAATAATAATAATAATAATAATAATAATAATAATAATAATAATAATAATAATAATAATAATAATAATAATAATTATTATTATTATTATTATTATAAAACTGCAAAATTGTTATTATTATTTCTGGTGCTTATTTAATATGTATTATTTTATTATCAATAACAATGATAATTATTAGCATTAGTATTTTAAACAATATGCATTAATTGTGAAAGTTTGTATTTAATAATAATAATAATTTATTATAATAAATAAATGTATTATTTAATTAATGATCAATATCAATGATACTTATTAATATTTAAAATGAATATTTATTGTATTTTTATTATATTTTTAGTATCAAAATTCTCAGAATTCTGTCTTAGTTGGTTTGCGTAAATGTATGCATTGACACTTTCTTTTAAATAGCACGAAAGTAATTCTTCTCAGCGCCAGTGCAGAGAAATTCTAAAACTTCAGCACTTCAGAGAGTTTAGCTGTACATCATCTCCGGAGGAAAGTAAAAAGGCAAAAGTTTGAGAAAGTTTACCTGAGGGAAGATGGCACCCTTCAGCTGTTGTAGGCCTGACACATTGTCATACATCTCATAAACTCGGCCCGTGCTCCTGAGGATTGTTTCATCACTTGTCAGTCACTTGCATGAAACATTATTTTTGTTTGTTAAAATGTGAAAAATGCAGCAATAACACATCACATTAAATGGTCCATTGCTGACGTTCTGAATGACAGAATGTCTGTCACGCAACTTTACGCACTGCAGGACGTGAGGACGGACCTTGATGTATGGACTCTGTTGCGTTTGTCAGAGGTCATTTTCTAAAGGACCAAGGTGGAGACCTGACTGACAAAGCATGCTGCATCACTGTCAGGAAAATAGTCTTCAGCAGCCACAACTCATTTCAGACATATTTGCTGTCACTCAGGAAGGAGCAGACATGGCAGGGTTTGAGCTACAAGGTTAGCGAGATAATGTCGTCTTGCTTGGCTGTTATGACAGGCCGGGATGAGGAATGAAACTTTAAATCTTGAAAACTGAGAAAACTCGGAAGAATAAAGTGCTGTAAGGCATATAGATTGGTAGTTGACAGGTGAAATTTATTTGACTAGATAAAGTTGAACAAGGAGAGGCACATAACGGTAGAAGATTTCCTACAAAAAGAACTGCGTTAAGGAACGTATAAATCTTAGGGTGTGTATTTATTTATTTATGTTTTGTCTGTATTTATACCCGTTACTGTTTTTATTACAAATGGTAAATAAAATAAATGAAGATAGAAAGAAAGAAACAAATAAATAAATATGCAAATAGTTGGTGTAATTCCTCTTGAATAATGTGAGATTCTAATGTATTTACTTATTTATACTTGTCACTATTTAATTACATTTGGTCCCGATTGAAACAAACAAACAAACAAACAAACAAACAAACAATCAAACAAACAAACAAACAAATAAATAAATAAATAACTAAATTTGTTTGTTTGTTTGTTTATGCAAGACCATCTACATTGAAATTGTGGCAGGTATAAACAAACAAAATGTGAAACATAATAATAATAATAATAATAATAATAATAATAATAATAAATCATTTAGTTTGACTTGCATTGTGTTTGACATTATACAAATCACATCCTGAATGACACAAAAATACTATTTGAAATGCGACCTGACCTTTCAGACCAAAATGCATTTCCAAAAATCGGATTTTAATTGGTTTTCAAACCACATACAGATGCTTTCATGCCGTTTTCTGCAGTTCAGATTACAAATAGCTAAATAGATTTGTGTCTCTTCTTTCCGTGTCACATATAACATATTCCTACTTTCTGGAGGTACGGTGTGAAATTGCACCTTCTCTGTTTAGCAGCCGTGCTGTAGATGTTGGATTCTTGTATTCTTGTAAGTTCAGGTTGCTCTTAGTGTTACTTTAACATGTTAAACACAGTTAAAGTGACACATGAAGGGACTTTTTCCTTTCATTTAAGGGGAGGTGGTGTACCAATTTGAATTTGCCCTTCACAACTGTTGATTTCTAGAGAGAAGTGCCTCTAAGTGTGTGACGGGAAAGGTTAGCCCCATTAAACTGCGTAAACAGGCACTGTGTCAAAAAACGGCGTATATGGGTGCATTAATAGTCCTTCGTGTAAAACGACGTTTCTGTAACTGGTGCTTCTTGGAGACTCGCTAACCATATTCTGCCCATAGAGAGACATTTTGAGGAATATTCTGAATGAATCTACCTTTGAATGACAGTCATTACAGTAGCCAATGCCTTGTGCACTTGAGGTAATCATAGTGGCAGAACATCTTAGCGTGTAGTCATTTAGACAGAGTCCCGGAAATCATTTACAGCACCTTTGAACAGGATGAGAAAAAAAGATAAAATGAGAAAAATAAGTCACACCACGGTATTTTGTGAGAGTGGTAATTTTGGGGTCATCATTTGTGACATTTAGCAGCTGTTCTGTGAAATGTGTTTGTCCTTGTGAATCGGCTACCAGCCCGGCTAACAGGAAGCATTCTCAGAGCATTGGCTAACGTTCTGGCAATGTTCTCTCTAAGTTATCCCTTTTATCTCCTTAAAAAAAAAAAAAAAAAAAAAACGCTAAAACCAGCCTAAGCTGGTTAGCTGGTTTTAGCTGGTCATCCAGCCTGGTCATAGCTGGTCAGCAGGCTGGTTTTAGAGGAGTTTTGTCCACTTCTTTAGCTGGTCAGGCTGGAACAACCAGTTTGACCAGTCTAGCCAGGCTGGGAGACCAGCTAAAACCAGCTACTTCCAGCTTAAACCAGCTAAGACCAGCCAACTAGCTTTAATCTGGTTTTAGATGTTTTTTTCCAGCAGGGATGAGCAAATATTAATCCAGGAATGTTAATAGAATGTCTGTTTGATGTTATTTGGTCTTTTATAATGTTCTTAAAACTTTAGCACATTACTTATGCTTCATAGGGCGCTTTCACACCTGCCTCATTTAGTTCAGTT